TGTGCCCTTAACTGGCGTGGTAATGTGTAGTCATTTAAGTATATGTATTATTTGTCTTTATTCTTTTTGTTAAGTGATTGTTTCCTATTTTTAACTTTTTTTAATGTTTGTTTTTCACATTATATTAGTTACGTTTTTTGGGTACTTTCGTTATTTGTGTTTTTAACTTTATTATTTCTAGGATGTCTATACTTAATTCCTTTATTTTTTTAAGAGTCTGTTATCTTTTTTTTTTAAGGTATAGAGTTCCTAATTTTGCCGACAGAACTTTTGTTTTTTTTACCTCTTTATTTTACTATCTTTGTTTCTTTTTTTAATACATATTCTTAACATTATGTCAGGCAAGTTCACTTTCGTGAGATTGGTCTCGGCTTCTCACTTTTCTTTTTCCAATCGTTTGTTCCATTCCTTGTTCTGGTGTGGTTTGAGCGACACTAAGATTGTTCCTTATCCTGGAACAGTCCTGAGCGGACAAGGTACTGCAATCCGACAGGTTCGGCTTTTTTACTCCACAAAGTATTACCATAAACATAGTAATGCTAAGTGCTCTCAATCCCCACTAGCTTCAGCTTGTGCTTCAAAGAATACTGATCAAACTGATACGAGGGAATTGGAATTCTTAGAAAGTGACACGAAGCTCCTCGAGAATGAATTTGAGGATATAGCAAGTAATCAATATAGCACAAAGCGGAGCTGCTTATCGGATCCCTCTTCAGAATTGGGGATCAAAGTTGGTGATATCAATCGTTGTACACTAGCAAGCCACTTAATGTCTTCCACTACAAGCATCGGGCTTCACAATGAGGATGTTAATAACACTAGTGGAACCGGAGATGCGGGGATTGGACTGCAATGGCCCGAACCCACTCTTGCTGATCTGGATCGCTCAATTCCTCAGGTAGATTCTGAATTTATCGCAAACCTCATTCGATGCCGTACCGTCCGTCGGAATGATTTTCTGAAACGCAAAACCGAAATCAAGGCACGTGTCGAAGAGCTTAGTAAACAAGAAATGAAGACAATCACGGAAGCAGTAAGTATGCCGCGTGTAGGTGGATGGGGTTTTTGGAAGCGTGGATTAAATAATATTGATGAAACAGCATTGGTGGCAACTAGTGCCCAGGATAACGTGATGGCGCCCAAAAGTGTGCTCGCGCAGCTCACCCCAGAGGAATTGGACATATTGCACACGACTCGTCCAGAGTACGATGATGGTTTTTTCTTACTTGATTGTCGAACAGTGAACGAGATTACGTCGTGGGGGATTATTGAAGGCGCCAAAGTGCTTCCAGCACACGAGCTCTTTGAAGCCTTTCATGCTACTCCAGCGGATTTCTTGGAAGAGTACGGCTTTACCAAACCCAGTCCGGCTCAGATGATTATTTGCTACTGCCAGTACGGCCCTCGCTCACTGATGGCCGCGCAAATTCTAAGCTGGATGGGGTACCTTAACGTCCTGCATTTTCGTGACGGCTACTATGAATGGAGTAAGCAATACAACCTACTCCTGCGACGTTGGATGGAGCATGATCGCAGCAGCGGGAATGAGTTGCGCCGGGTCGCAACCTTTCGCGCAGCTCTCGAAATGCAGCGTGAGATTGCACCCGAGTTTACAGCCTTGGCTATCCAAGAGGCCTCGCAGTATTATGTAGACACTACACGTAGTAGAGGACGGCTCCGCATCGGTGAAGGGTTGCGCGCGAATGCGTACGCCGCGGTGGCAAAGCTTATGGAAGAAATGCCCCTCCCTCCGGGCCTTCCTGGTGTAGCTGAAGATGTAAAGTTGGACAAACAATTCCTTACAGGGCAACATCTCACGAAATTCCTAGGGCAAGCCACGGGTTTAGACCCTATTGCAGCGAAGGATACCGGCACAGAATCCAATATGGGCATATCGGACGCTCAATCTATCGCACTTAGTCCCATCTCATCTGCCTTACCTCGTCGGTCATCATAATACTGGTAGGGTGTAGAAATGATTAAGCAAGGTAGATCCATCTTGATGTCGATTGTCACTACAGATGCATCTATCAACTTCTCAAACCAGATTCTATTTTCCTATTCATAAGAAGGCACCCTTTTGTGCAACGCCGTACGTGTGCATCTCACCTTTGTAGACAGTTTACACGTATCCCCATCAGGCTGTGGTTAAACACAACTTCTTTCAGCCATCAACGGGGCCCACAAAATCTGGAACACGGTGGAACCTCTGGAGATAGTCAGCTTCGATAACTTGTCCTTCAAAAGGATCTGCGACGACTAAGCGAGCGTAGCAACGTTTATAATCTGTCGCGGCCACCCGTCCGGTGTATAGTGACGCCCTCTTTGGGACTAGTGCTATCTGAACGGTATGATAACGAACTGCATCACGAGGTTAGCGAGACTCGTGATTTCCCTCTTAATATCCTATATTGTGTCTACCGTCTTTATTATCCGGTCGAGCTAAGCTAAGGGACTTGTCTTTCGATCTCACTCGAGGGGAAAGTGAAGACTCGTTATAGCATCGCGTCAATAGTGGGAATAGTTGAGGAAGAATATGGAAAAAAAATGGTTGCTGAAATAAAGACCGGAAGTAAGGGAAGTATACTTCTACAGTGAACTGCTAAGGAGAGATAGAATCAAGCGTTTGTTTATCTTTCTTTTTTCTCTGCTATTTGAGTTACAATAAGTGAAAAGGTAGCCCTATTGTTATCGAAATATTAGACAGTTTATTAGTTGATTAATAAAATACTAATAAAACAAATCCAAATACATTCAATTTGTGCAATGCCACCGAGCAAATGGACTACATCTGGTTTTGAACTCTCATCATCACGCGCCAAAGATATTAAATTAAACGCTCCGACTTCAAAACCTTCCTTGGTTAGCAGGTTTGTGACGGGGGGAAAAAGAAATCTAGTCCAACGTGCAACTTTCTATAAAATAGTCTTTTCCTTATTGTTGGTGGGCGTGTTGGTGTGTTGGCTAAAGGGCTGGCTCCTTGTCGATAAATCCGAGAATTTATCTCATACTATCCCGTCATTGCATGAAGGTAAAAATCTGACCAAAATCACTAAGATTAGTCACAGACACCTAAAGGAAAAAAACAAAGGAGGCGCTCACATAAGTTCGGAAGGTAGTCGTCTGGCGCGCGGAGAACGAATGAACTCAACCGTTATGCTTACCATAGACGGTCAGAATACTGTTGTGGTTGTAGGTGGTGGTCTGGCAGGCTGCTCTGCAGCTATTGAGGCTGCCAAACGCGGTGCAAAAGTCATATTGCTTGAGAAAGAAACCAAGTTAGGCGGCAATAGTGCCAAGGCGACATCTGGAATTAATGGTTGGGGGACCCGTGCCCAGGCGGATCAGGGTATCCTGGACAGCGGCAAGTACTTCGAGCGCGACACCTATTTATCAGGGCGCAGCGGTAACTGCAAACCTGAGCTGGTCAAGGTGCTCTCCGTGAAAAGTGCACATGCCGTTGATTGGCTAACAAGTCTGGAGATCCCCCTGTCGGTGCTCTCGCAACTGGGCGGACACAGCCGCAAGCGAACCCATCGCGCACCGGACCGCGAGGACGGCACCCCTGTGCCCATCGGCTTCGCAATCATGAGGAAGCTGGAGGAGCACATCCGTGGTGAACTGCTGGGTTCGGTTAGGGTCGAAACGACGGCCCGCCTCTCGCGTCTGCTGTATGATTCAGTGACGTTACCAACCGGGGAGATGGTCACCATGGTCAGGGGTGTTGAATATGAAAGGTCTATGGCGAGTGGCGACGGTACAGATGAAGAGACGGTCCGGGTCTACGCAAACGCCGTCGTTCTCGCTACGGGTGGGTTCTCGAACGACCACACAACGACCTCGTTGCTGCAGGAGTACGCGCCCCACCTGATGGGCTACCCCACCACCAACGGTGTGTGGGCCACCGGCGACGGTGTCAAGTTAGCTCGTGAGCTCGGGGCCGAGCTGGTGGATATGGACAAGGTACAGCTGCATCCTACCGGCATGATTAACCCCAAGGACCCACAGGCGAGGACACTTTTCCTTGGTCCTGAGGCACTCCGTGGCTCTGGGGGCATTCTACTGAATACGAAGGGCGAGCGCTTTGTCAACGAGCTGGGCCTGCGCTCCGTCGTGTCACAGGCCATCATCGCCCAAGGCGACGAGTATCCAGGCTCACAGGCCAGAAAGTTCGCCTACTGCGTCCTCAATGAGGCCGCCGCGGGACTCTTCGGTAAAGGCGCGCTCGGGTTCTACTGGAAAAAAATGAATCTTTTTCGTTTCGCAGAGAATGTTCACGAGTTGGCAGTGCTTATTGGGTGTGAGGAGAGCACTCTGCTTCGGACTCTGGAAAGCTACAAAGATCTCAGCTCGTTGGATCGAAAGTGCCCTCTCACTGGTAAAGATGTATTCCCTTGCGTCATTGGGCCGCAAGGCCCGTTTTATGTCGCCTACGTCACCCCATCGATTCACTATACCATGGGTGGCTGTCTCATTTCACCCTCAGCGGAAATTCTGACAGTGGATAAGACTGACATCCTCAATCGGCATCGCCCCATCTTGGGGTTGTTCGGCGCCGGTGAAGTCACTGGCGGAGTGCACGGTGGCAACCGCCTCGGTGGTAACTCCCTGCTGGAGTGCGTCGTATTCGGCAGGATCGCTGGCGAACGTGCCGCACATACCGCTTTGGAGGTCCTTTCAGCTCAGGAAACAGGAAGCTTCCGAGGGAACCCTGCGATGAATTCCACCAGTTGGACGCGAGGTACAGTTCTGCAGCTCCTGCCCGACGACCCATCATCGAGCAATATGGAAAGCGTGTCCGATATAGGATATCGACTTGTGATTAATCTTCCGAATGCATTCCAAACCAGCGGACTGGCGCTGCTTCAGCCCATCTTAATAAAACTGTCCTCTCCTTATTCAGGCGCAATTCAGCCCCTACGAGTAGTACCCACAACGCTTCCTGAGGAGCTAGGCATCATATCTATACCCTTACCACCACTTACAACACACAAGGATGAAGTGCCGCCCTGGGTGTATGCTCTGCAACCTGGGGACGAGGTGGAAATGCAAGCTGGCCCCATCGAGGCCTCGGTCAGTAGCCTTGAAAAACGTCTCATGCAAACTAAGGAGGGAAGTGGAGCAAATCTGGTTATCCTCGCGACTGCACCAGAAGGTGTCAACCCTATGCTGCAGCTGCTGCGAGCCTCCTCACGGCATCCGTTACAAGAAAAGTTGAACAATGTTCGACTTTTATATGCTGCGAAAAATTTATCCGAGATGAGATATCTGGATGCTTTGAAAAATCTCTGCAGCGAGAGAATTGAGTTTCTTTTCGCACTCGACAACCCTCCTACAAAATGGACTGAAGAAGTGGAAATGGATGAACTCACGGTGAAAAAAATTATCCCGCCTACCGAAGACACGAGTCAATCCATCATAGTTGTATTGACTCAAAAAGCCGAACAAATAAGTTTCTTAAAGCAATTCCTTGGGGCGAAACGGTTTGAGGAGGGAGTCAGTTTATTCTTTATCACATGATTAAATATGCTGAGTCCAGAATATTTGTTTTAGCTTTCCAAGTCGTAATTGTTTAAAGAAAAAATAGTATCAGTGTCTCTGCAATACTATAATTAGCATTTACTTTTAAAGGCTTTCCTAAGCCGCGTCATCAAAAGTATAGAAAAAACGAAATAGTAATTTGTTCCTTTAGCACTAAACAATTTTTCGGAAGGGCTAAGAGTTTGTACTGCATCAGACAAGTTAGAATATGCCCACACCTAAAGCAAGAGGGAGAATCAAAAGTGAAGCAAAATATACATGGTATTACAGCTCTTTGCTTTTTATGATACGTTGTGGGCAGGTTATTGTTATTTCTTAATAACTATTTCCATCTTTTTGACGGGTTAACGAAAAGTATAAGGCACCTAAAAATGGGGCCTGACTCAAACGAGTTGTACGCCACACCTCGTACATGACCATATTTTCCCTTTTCATTTACCTTTTTGGGAAGAGAATGAACGCTTATCATCTTTGAGTCATAATACAAGACTAGATAATGATATTTTACCACTAAATGATACAGGGAAAAAATACCCCATTTCCATTATGCAATTATTATGAATAGTTGGTATTATTTATTGCATCTTCGTTAGCGTATGCGCATTTGCCCTTGTGACAAATCGACCTTCGCCCCCTCCAGTTGTATCGCCATACCTTAGCTGCGCTAGGATGCATGACAGGGCTTGAAACCTAACCTCCCGGGGCCTGCAAACGGAGTAATCGCACCGATCTTGCTAAACCTGAGCGTGAAACCAGGGTGGCGATCCGCGCCACGCACACACCCGAGGCTTCGCCAACATGTGGACGAAAAAAACTTGCTTTACTTTGTGAGAACCGTTACGCAGGTGAATTTCGTTTTAATCCTTCGTGGAATCGATTTGCCCTTCCCTGGAGCAAAACAATTCTGCGACGCCCGCGCCGTGGGAGGTGAAACTCATCCGTTGGAAAGCTTTTGATATGGGGGCAACATTGCGCGATGTGTATTTTTCCTGCATGCGAGGAATCCGCCCCTCACCGTCCACGATGGCGCGGTTTCAAAAAACGCCCCAGGGACCCCGGCGGGGAAACAAGAGAGCCCTACCCACACGCGCCTGCAGCGAAACGAACGGACCGGGTGGCGGCACTCCCTTTAAATACTTCCACAGGGGTTGTGTTGAAAATAAACTTGTAAAATATTTTGTTCGGTAAACAAGACAATAATCCCCATCATCAAAGAAAGAAACACCTATTGTTAAAAAAAAATTCCATTAACGTTTTCACCCGCGGCGCTGGGGATCCCCGAGCCTTGTAGCAAAAAGACCCCCTGGCCGAATTAAAAAATTTGGCGAGGTACCAAATCGTGGACCCTCTAAAAAGCCACCCTCTGGGGTGCCCTGCTGGGAAATGGCTTGGCGAAGGGCTCCCCTCGTGGCCCGACCCATCCACGACGGCCCACAAGCCCGATTCCGCGGCCCCAACATGCGCCGCCGACCCTGCCCTGGCGGAATTCGTGGCCTGCAAAAATTGGAAGGCGCCGGGGTGGCACGAGCGACTGCCCCGCCAACCACCGGCAGCCCTGAAAAAATAGGAAAACAATTACGTTTCCGAAGCCCAACGAGCCCGTGTGCTGCCCGCCCGCGGACCACCCGGCTCGATATACTATTCATCGCTAAAATCAGGTGAAGGCTGTTCCTTTGTTTTTTCCCCCTGAGGGGGGGGGGCAGTCGGTTTTTTCCCCCCCGGCACCCGGGGCGCCCCGAGGGGGTGCGCCGCCATGGCCCACATGGGGGGGCATCGGTAAAATTTTACACACTCACAACAGGGCCCGCTGCGAAGTCCGGAAGTATAGCTTCGGTTGTTCCTTCCCAACCCCCCCCGGGCGCGGCAAAAAGGCGATTTGCTCCCCCATGCTCTTTTTCGATCCGCGCTATATGCCGGCCACCCCCCTGCGGGGACGCCGACTAGTTGCTATTTATTTTTGAAGCCAGGAGCCCGAGCGTCTTCCCGCGGGGGGTGGGGGCACATAGACATGGCCGTCTGCGCCGCCTTGAAATAGGGTAGGTCCCCTCCCCGGGGGCCCCCCGGGCAGACGAAACGCCCCGGCCGAACACCGTTAGCGCCCCCCCAGCTTGAGTATACATGCTGAGTTGTATGCTTTAGTTTTATATTCCGTTTCATTTATGTATCTCGTTCTCTTCAAGTTAGGCGAATGAAGATTGATAATTGACACGCAATCGGGCATCAGATTTATTCAAACACCCAGACGGGGGGCGCGCCAAACCAGGGGCATTTCGCGGCACAGGTCTAGAAAGAGCCCGCTCCTCATATTTATTTTTATTGAAGAAGTCGTGAACGTAATCTTCCTGGTCTGGGTCTTCCCAGCATTCTAACTTCTTTCCC